CCCCTGAGCTACCCCCCTGCCCTGCCCGCACACAGCCCCTAGCTACCCCTTCCCTGCCCCTGAGCTAACCCTCTGACTGCACACAGCCCCTAGCTACCCCTTCCCTGCACCCTGAGCTAACCCCCTCCCTGCACACAGCCCCTAGCTACCCCTTCCCTGCCCCCTCAGCTACCTGCTGCCCACACACAGCCCCTAGCTACCTCTCTTTCTGCACCCGGAGCTGTTTTCAAACGGTTTGAGCTGAACCCCCCACCTTTGAGTTATAATTTTTGGTTGCATCTCCCCCCCCCCGTCCCGCCACAACCAAGCTTTTATAGGCCTCTATCATGTACCATCTCAGTCATCTCTTTTCCAAGCTGAAAAATCCCAGTCTTTTTAATATCTCCTCATATGGAATCTGTTCCATACCCCCAAACATTTTTGTTGCCCTTCTCTGAAACTTTAACAATTCCAATCTATCTTTTTTTGAGATGGGGTGACTAGAACTGCAAGCAGTATTCAAGCTGTGGGCATATCATGGATGTATATAGTAAAAGTGGAAGAGCTTGGTTTGCCAGACTGATCACATGGCTAATGAATGCACCAATGCAAATAGGCATCAAGTATTAAGTCATTGTGTACGTTATCGTGATGTCCATGGTAGGCCAGTAGATGCATTCCAGATGTTCAGGTTATAGCAGACACATCAGCTGCATCTGTGACATAAAAGGGGGAGGGATAGCTTGGTGCTTTGAGCATTGGCCTGCTAAACCGAGGGTTGTGAGTTCAATCCTTGAGGGGGCCATTTAGGGAACTGGGGTAAAAATCTGTCTGGGGATTGATCCTGCTTTGAGCAGGGGGTTAGACTAGATGATCTCCTGAGGTCCTTTCTAACCCTGATATTCTATGATTCTATCTTAGAAGAGTTAAATGCTTGTAAGTGAACCCCAAACAGATGGCTGTTTGTGCATTTGATGGAGCTATAAACTTCTTTGGAAGACATAGTGGAGTACAAGCTTTGTTCAGAGAAAAGTCTAACCCTAATTTCTTCTATACACACTACAAAGGCCATCTACTTCAGCTAGTGCTAGTACAAGCTGCAGAATCTTCAAAAGACAGTTAAAAGCCATAAATTTAATGGCTTTCTTGTATTCTTTTTTCAGCAAGAGTCCAAAAGAACTGAATGTCTTGGAAACAAATAGAAGATACACTGGGACTGAATAGAATTTTGCATTCTGAAAGAAGTCGTCTTCTGCCTGATCATGAGCATATCATGAAGGACTGGAAGTAACAGACACACAAGAAGACACCAAAGAGATGTGCAAAATTACAACAAGAAACCAAGAAGGATGTAGATGTCGTCCTTCATAGTAGGCTTGAGTAACCAATTTTAATTTCTGTGATGATTTTAAAACATGAGTTAAATCTAATAAAATGATCATGAAACATTTTTCAGTTTTTACTATAGTGCCATACAGCCCTTCTTCCCCCTCACAGTCTCAACCCTCGTCAGCCCTCACCACCACCACCCATATATTCAAACACCCCCCTAATTTCAATTCCTGGGGAAAACACTGTGCTCTGAGCTGGTTACACCTGAAAATCACAAGGAAACTTTAGTTAGTGCAGAACTTGCCTGCCCATAGATTATTTCACAGATCCAAGATGAGAAGGGAATATTGTGATCATACAATCTGACCTCCTGTATGACTATCAAGGCTGATTCCCCCCTCTGGCACTTTCCTTTCTGCCTCAGTTAGAACTCGGCCTGAGCTAAGGACATCCCTCCATCCTGGAACCGGAATCTCAGTTGGGGGAGGGCTGACCCTTGCCTCCTGGGAAATCCCCGTTCCCCCATCCGCTCCCTTCATTTCCATCATGGAGCTGGATGTCTGGGCTTGCTCTGGGTCAGTCTTCTCCGTGGCATACCGCTTTGGGAAGACTTGTTTTTCTAAGGTTTCAGTGCCTGACCTCAACCTCATGCACAGACTGCCCTACTCTAGCCTATTTTGTTGCCACGAAGCTAGGGAAAAAAAGAAAACTGCTTGTTGGACTCCCTGGCTTTGCAGGCTCAACCTGTTCTCCCTCAGGCAGCAAAGAAAAGAAAAAGAAAAGAAAACCTCCCTGGCTTGCAGGCTGCCAAAAGGAACAATGTGTCCTTTTAAAATCCTGAGGTTTGTGCTTCTGGTTCAAAATGATCCCACCACTCTGCCATCATGTCAAGGCTGATTCCCCACTCTGGCACTTCGAGTGCAGAAGGTGGGGGCCCACAAGGATTCTAAAAATTAATACTGGACACTCCAGGCTGGTATTAAACTCCCAAGGTCATAGTTTCTCTCTGACCTTGGATTGATAGATGCTGCCACCACCCAAGTGCAAAAAAAAAAAAAAACCAACCTTCAGACCCAGGAAGGCACACTTGGGAATTCCTTCAAGCCTCTTCATCCCCCCTCCGGTGAAGAGCTGAGAAAGGAACAAAGGAAATCAGCTGTTGCAATCAACTAATTAAACAATATGTGCACAAACCTCTTAGGGACACAAAAATCCAATCCTGTTCTTTAAAAAGGTAAATTTTGTTAAACCCAAAAAGAAAGGAAATACATTTGGAACTTAGGCTTTTTGCTAGATCTTAAAAGAACAATTATTAAAAATTAAGCATCAAGATAGCTCTCTTGAGGTTTAGCTTAACGGTTATAAGCAAAACAAAAGCATCTGGGGTTAGCACAGAGGAGTTCACAAACCGATAAAAAATAAAAGAAATAACCCTAATCGCATCTTCCTAGACATTCCCTAATTTACTTATATTTCTGGGGTTTCAGATAAGCAATCTTTAGGTATGAGCTGATGTTTTTTTCATACCTGGCTTAAAGCTTCTCACAGCATAACTGCTCCCTGTTCCCCTCTTTCCCAGAGAACAACACACAGACAAAGGGAAGTTTTTTTCCCCAATTGGCTTTTTTGGTCAGGTGCCCACTTGTTTCCTTTTACCTGTGGGCTTGTTAACCCTTTACAGGTAAAGCAAGTAGAGAACAACCACCAAGAGGGATTCCATAGCCAACTGGCTGGCTGGGTGTCCACAAAAGGGAGCTATCCCCCCTCTCATTTATTACAATGACAGGTCAGAGAACTGCCCAAAATAATTCCTAGAGCAGAGCTTTTAGGAAAACATACAGTCTTGATGTAAAAATTGCCAGTGATGGAGAATCCACCACGAACCTTGGTAAATTGTTCCAATCATTAGTTAATCTCATTGTTAAAAATTTCCATCTTATTTCCAGTCTGAATTTGTTTAGCTTCAACTTCCAGCCATTGGATCATGTTAGACCTTTCTCTGCCAGATTGAAAAGCCCATTATTAAATATTTATTCATTCTGCACATAGTTATTAATGTTAAGCATTGTTCCATGCCAGGAGCCTGGCACAGTCTGCTCTGTCTTTCTTAGTTTTGAGCTGGAATTTAAGCTGTGGGTTTTGACCTACAAAGGCCTCAACAGTTTGGCATTTGGTTACCCATGGACCAGCTCTCTCCTGGGATACAGCTGCAGCTGTGGTCAGTGGAGCCAAGCGAACAGCCCCTTGGTTTAAAAGGGAGGGGGCTGATGGCAGAGCATCACCACTCTGGAAATAGATCCCCCCACTTGGCCCACACAGCCTAGGTTTCTAGACCTTCAGCGCATACTGTGAGAGTGGTTTTCTCCTGCAGAAGGGGGGTGAGGGTTATGGAGTAGCATGGCTGCAGGCTAGTATTATTTTAGGATGAGTCAACCACATGGGTGGTCTGAATTTCAGAGGTGGGTGGGTTGGGGGGAGGATTGGTTCAGTCTCTGTGGATATTGATCCTTGTGTTGGAACCTAATCCAAACACCATGGAAACACAAGCCCCTAGTGGCTAGAAAAATCTCCACCCCTTCCTTACAAGGATTGGGACTCCAGCTAGGTTGGGTGTCAATATTCATTAGCCTTGTGTGAGGAGCAAGAGTAGCCACTCAGCTGAGATGATTCAGTAACACTAAAACAGGCCATATACCATCCATCAGCCTGGGCAAGTAGGTCTCATTTCATGGTCTGGAGCCGCTCAAAGGCTGAGCCTTATGAATCTAGAGGAGATGGGGCTCATTAGTGCCTGGAACACTGCCTTGGATGATAAACTCAATCAGTGATCTTCCTTGAGTGACAGTCACTCTGAACTGAAACACTTGCGCTCTTGGAACAATGAGTTTATACAGACAGTACAACCTAATCCATCCTAGTGCAGGCGAATCATTTCAGAAACCCAGCACTGGCTAATGACCACATCAGTGCAAGTAAAGGCCACGCTGGTGTGACATCTGCACAGAGCTTGTGTCTGGAATGTATTTACTCAATAGGGCAGACTTTGCTTTCTGCATTATTGGGACTCCTGTATGATATAATGAAGCCAGCTCTCATTCTCTATAGCACATGGTGGGCCTGGGAGCCACCAGCAAAGCGCCACTTACTTTGGGAAAGAAACTGGACTCGCCTGCTGCTGATGCCCAACAGATCCATCTTGGAGACTGGAAACTGTGTCACTTACCCCTGCATTCCCTCTGCCTCACTGCTAAGCCGGGGGTATTTTCTTGCTTCCAAGTACATACAGTGGGGAAAATTTATATATATCTAACTCCACAAAGGCATGTAGGAATGGATGGTCCAGTGGTTAGGGCAATAGCCTAGGATTTGGGAGATCATGGGTCAAATCCCTGCTCTACCACAGACTTCCTATATGACCCTGGGCAAGTCACTTAGTGTCTCTATGCCTCAGTTTCCCATCTGTACAATAAGGATAATAGCACGACCCTGCCTGGCAGGGGGGTTGCGAGGATAAATACTTTACAGACTCTGAGGTGTTCAGAGATGGTGATAGAAGCTAGATAAATACCTAAGACAGACAGTGGATCAGACTCAAGGTCCATCTGGTCTGGCATCCCATCCCTGACAGGGGTCAGTAATAGCTGCTTCAGAGAGGAGTATAAAACTCTCCAGAGCAAACAGGTATGGGGCTAAGTTCCCGCTAAGCTGCGTGGTCACACAGGCGGGGAGAGGCACCTTTCCCCTGTCCCTAGAGCTGCCTTGGCGGGGAGAGGTGCTCTCCCCTGGCCCTGAGCTGCTGTGGCAAGAGAGGGCACTTGTGGGAGTCCTCTCTTACCTCTGCAGCCTTGGGGCAGCCTGTACCCCTGAGCCCCCTTGGCCCCACACATCACTTCCATATTGGTGCACATAAAATTCATTCCGCACATGGACATAAAAAATTAGAGGGAACATTGGCTATGGTGTAACCTGTCACGGGCCGAATCCATCCTGCCAGCCATTTTAATCTGACCCTTGAGCTCCCACTAGGGAGCGGGGTCTGGGGCTTGCCCCACTCCGGCACTCCAGCCGGGGAGTAGGGTTGGGGGCTGCTCAGCGCAGCTCCCAGAAGCAGCAGCAGGGCCCCCCTCTGGCTCCTTTGCATAGGGACAGCCAAGGGGCTCCGCTTTGCATGCTACCCCCGGCTCAAGTGCCACCCTTGCAGCTCCGATTGGCTGGGAACCACAGCCAATGGGAGTTGCAGGGGCTGTGCCTGCGGATGGGGCAGCATGCAGCAATGCCGCCTGGCTGCGCCTCTACATAGGAGCTGGAGAAAGACATGCCTCTGCTTCCGGGAGCCGCTTGAGGTAAGCACCACCCGGAGCCTGCACCCCTGACCCTCCCCGCCATGCCCCAACCCCCTGCTCCAGCCCTGACTCCCCTCCCTCCAAACCCCTCGATCCCAGCCTGGAGCACCCTCCTGCACCCCAAACCTCTCATCCCCAGCCCCACTCCAGAGCCTGCATCCCCAGCTGGAGCCCTCACCGCCACCCCTCGGTGCCCCAACCCCCTGCCCCAGCACTGATACCCCTCCTGCCCTCCAAACCCCTCAGTCCCAGCCCAGAGGACCTTCCTGCACCCCAAACCTCTCATCCCCAGCCCCACTCCAGAGTCTGCACCCCCAGCCGGAGCCCTCACCCCCCCACACACCCTCAACCCTCCTGCCACAGCCCAGAGCCCCCTCCCACACCCTGAACTCCTCATTTCTGGCCCCACCCTGGAGCCGGCCTTCTCAGCCAGAGGCCTCACCCCCTCCCACGCCCCAACCCCAATTTTGTGAGTGTTCATGGCCCACCATTCAATTTCTATACTCAGATATGGCCCTCGGGCCAAAAAGTTTGCCCACGCCTGGCTTAGCCAGTCTGGCTTCAGGCCCTGACACTGACTCAGTTTCCCCTCCTCCCAGATGGTTCTTCTGCCCGCTTCCAGCATGGGTAGGTCACTGAGGTGACAGCCTGCAGCTGAGCCATGAAAGCCCCCCCTTCCAGCGCTAATCAAAGCCAACACAAAGCCTCTCACCCTACGCTTTCACCAGGCGCTGCCCTTCGGTTCAGGGGCTGGCCTCAGGCCCTGGGGCAGTGTGGGCTCTTTTGTTCCATGCCGGGGGTACACACCAGCTCAGTCTCCAGAGGGTTGTCATATGTTGGCCTAATTCTGTTGTTTGGCTTGGCATGTGGGTGGCCTGTGATACCCAGGTGGTCAAACTAGATGATCTGGTGATGCCTTCTGCCCTTAATCTCTCTGACCCCCTGCACACAACAGTCTGCATCCCTTCTGCCAGGCTGCACTCAAGTCCTTTCATTCCCCCTTTGTTGGCTGTCAGACCTCACAAGGTAGCACTATAGGGGGAAACCCCCAGCCCTGAGACTCTAAGCAATTGGGCTAGCCACCCCATAACCTTACCTAGCCTGTCTTTCCTTCCCAGGGCCTCCTTCCGTATGTTCAGCCCAAGCTCCTCACTGGCCTTTTCCTGGATGCTCACCTGCCTTTCAATACAGCATCCCCTTCCTACATTTCCTGAATGAAAGCAGGCTGCGCTTTTATTTCCCAGCAGGCCTGGTTTTGTCACATGCTCCTCCTTAGCACATGACCCCTGTACTCTCATTCCCTTCACCTGGGAATGTGGGCTAAACATGGCAAAGGTGAGACCAAGTCCCTCCTCACCCCCAAAGGGTCAGCTCACCCTGTGATATAATCCTACTAAGCTCTTTTCTTTCAAGCATATCTTGTGGCAGTGAGTTCCACAGGTCAATTGTGTGTTGAGTAGAAAAACATTTCCTTTGATCATTTTTAAATTTCTTGTCTTTTATATTTACAGGAGACCCTGGAGAAGGGAAATGAGTCTGGTTAGATGCCCAGATGGGGATGGTTTATTTGGAGAGACTGCAAAAGCTAGGATTGTTTAATCCTGGAAAGAATAGAGAGGGCTCAGTAGAATTAATCAAAGTTATGAAGGGTATAGTGACAATTGAGCAGTTCTTTCAATTACTCCACCCCATAATCTGAGACCAAGGTAAAATACTGTGAAGTTGATGGGTGGTATATTTGGGACCAATAAAAGGAAACAGCATACAGTCAACCTGTGAAATTCACTGCCGTCCTGGGTCCTCAAAGACTCCAGCTGGAATATGAGCAGGGTTTGCTAAGTTAACTGTTGTAAATAAAGTTTGTTGTAAGGGTAGTCACAGCTCACATCTCAGGGCATCGGCTAATCAGTACAGGCAAGGTCAAGAAAAAATTCAGCCCCCTCTCCTCCTCTCCATGCACAGCACTGCACAACGGGCCAGCTGCACTAATGTGAGTTCTGGAATGCCCTAACTTTTTGTAGAATCAGGGCTTTGCAACTAGAACTGCCGCTAAATGGACCATTAATCTGACCCAGTTCATCCTCCTCTCTGCATCCCTCTGCCCCCTCAGAGCACAGTTTCGGATCATTCTCTAAAGTACATTCTCCATGTCTGCATCCACGCAGTGTGGATGACACACACTGGGCTGTCCCCACTTCCCTGGGAGCCCGTGACGTGTGTAGCATAGCTCTTGCTGTGGGGATA